GGATTAAGGCAAAGAGAAGTTAAGTGACTTGCTCAGGGCCACACACCTTGTGAGTATCTGACACCAGAATTGAACTCAGGTCTTCCTGACTCTGGACCCAGCACTATCCATTGAGCCACCTATCTGCCTCTACCTGTTACATAGTAGGTGCTATATAAAAGCTTATTTTTCCTTTCCTCCTTCCTTCTTTCCTTCCTTCCTTCCTAAAATGGGGATAATAACATTACCTCCTTCCCGGGGTTGTTTTGAGAATCAAATGAGATAATAATTGAAAAGCTCATCACAGTGCCTGGAACATAGTAAGCACTGTATAAGTATTAGCTGCTATTATTATTATGTAACACCCTTACTCAATACATTCCAATGGGTCTCTAGGATCAAACCTAAACTCCTCTGTTTGGCATTTAAAGCTCTTTGAGACCTGGTCCCTTCCAATTTTCCCAATCTCCCTAAATATAACTCTGCACCTCAGTCAACAGTCTAACCATTACTACTGTCTTGCTATTGTCTCTCACACATCATGCTCCACCTTCCTTTTCTATGCCCTATACCGGATGTTTCCCATGCCTAAAATGCCCCCTTTCACCTTTGCCTCAGAAGCCACGACTTCCTTCATGACTCAAACACCAACTAATAAAGGAGGCTTTTCCTGGTCCCCCCAGTAGCTAAGGTTACATTGTATAGCAAGGGCTCTCCATCACCACATGTAGTATGGGGATATCATCGTGTAGCTCAAAGAGGGACAGAATAGACATCTCTAGCCTTTTTATGCTTCATCCTTCTCCAAGGGAGACTGTTTCCTGTTGGGAGAGAAAACAGAGGGTTGGGGCCAGAGACTTGACCACTTTGCCCTCTTCAGAGAGAGAAAGAGGTAGGGTACCAGGCTAGAATCATATCTATTTGCTCCCTTAAATGTTACTAGTCTAGGTGATGCAATTTTCAAGTTCAATCTAACTTCTGATCAATGTTGTTGTTTCATTAATTGGGAGGAGCAGGATCCCAAGCTTTATATCCAACACTTAACTCCCTTCCCACCAAAGAGCAGTTCTACAACGAACACACATTTTAAGTAGCAAAGAAACTTATTTATCCAAGTCAATAGCAAAATAGAAATCAAAGAAAGTAAACATGGGAGAATATGTAGTGGATAATGCAGAGCAAAGGAGCTCTCCCATTGGGATCAAGATAACCCAGTTCTCAAAGAAAGAGAGAGAATCCTCAATCTCACCAAAAGGGAAATTCCTCAAAGTCTCTAAGTGTAGCGCGCTGGGGATAGGGACATGATAGAAACTGCCAACTCCTCTCCTGTCTTCCCAGTCTTTTCCTTGTGAAGTTGGCTTTGTCCATCTTCTCTCTCAAAGCTGGAAGCAAGAAGTTCCCAAAGTGACAGCAGAGCCTGAAGCAACCCTGAAGAAATTGAAGTCCATAAAAGGTGAGAAGGCTTCAAGAGACTGGCAGTCTTCTCTCTCATTCTCACTGTGTCCTCCCTGTCACTCATATAGGCACAGGGCATTCGTCTCCACCGCAGAGGAGGAATCCCGTTCCAATGGGCTTTAAGACTCACGTCACACCTGTATCTACTCTCTGCATCTTGTATATACGTGTTCTCTCCTCCGTTGGAATGGAAGCTCTTGAGAGCAGGGCCTGTTTCCATTTTGTACCTTCGGCCAGGCACAATGGCTGGCACAAAGTAAGTGCTTAATAAATGCTTAAGGATTGATTGATATTGGATCCCTAGTATTGAATGTAGAAGAAACAGTAGCCAATATGATGCTGTGGAAGCGGGTCAGGCCTATTTTACATCTTTATTATTGAGCAGGAAGAAAGCAGTAAGGAGCGTATCAACGTCCAAGACTTGGATTTAACAAATTTCAGCATAGTGAGCCAGGAGGAGAGAAAAAAATGACACAAATGGATTTCAAGAGGTTAGAAATCTTCCCAAGAAAGAAGATAATGCGATTTAAATAGGAAAGATGCCAAGTTATATAGCTTACATTATTAAATAATCAAAAACAAATTATTTATTACTGCCATTGTATCTAATTTGCAATATAAGATGTATTTTTGCCTGATAAATTTTGTTTAGGCAAATCACACACACCCCAACAAATTCACAGTTCAATCCTTGAAAATAGTTTACTAAAATGGTACAAAAATAGTGATTGTAACTGACAGAACTTGGAAGCTTATGCTTTTTTATTTATTTTTGTGAGGCAATCAGGATTAAGTGACTTGCCCAGGGTCACACAGTTAGTAAGTGTCAACTGTCTGAGGCCAGATTTGATTTCAGGTCCTCCTGACTTCAGGGCTTGGTACTCTATCCACTGTACCACCTAACTGCCCCTTGCTTTTTGATTTTTAAAAGAAAAGTAACAGATACCTTTAATTAATTAATATCAACATTATGGCATTTGAAGTATTTTTAGTTTTCTATTTAAGGTTGTTCTTATAGATTTAGAGTTATTGTGTATATTGTTCTTTTAATTGCTCTTTCTTCATTCTATATCATTTTATACCAGTCTCCCAATGTTTCTTTGATCTCTTCACATTCATTATTCATTATGCCAAAATAGTAATACATGATATTTAGATGCCACAATTTGTTCAATCATTTCCCAGTAGTTGGATACACCATTTGTTTCCAACTTATATTTTACTACAAACTGCATTTATAGCCAAGGCAGTTAGGTAGCTCAGTGGATAGAGAGCTGGGCTTGGAGTCAGGAAGACCTGAGCTCAAATTTGGCCTCAGACTTTTATTAGCTGTGTGACCTGTTTGCCTTAATCCACTAGAGGAGATAGCAAACCACTCCAGTATCTTTGCCAAGAAAAAAGTATGATCCATGGGGTCGTGAAGAGTTGGAAACGACTGAATGATTGAACAACCACAACAAGGAATTGACAGAGGTGGAGATGAGTATGGAGTACAATTCAGGCTCTGGAGGAGAAAGTGAGGCTGGTGACTTTGCACAGCCCTGCCTCACTCAAATCAAAGTCAATTGCAAGTCATGTCATCTCCCTGATGTCATGGTCCTCTTCAAGAACAAAGGACAAATCACAACCTGTGAGTAGTTGGAGTTGCCTGAATAGGGAGCCAGCTAGTCAGTTCCCAGTCAGTCCTCCTCTCCTCCCCTCCTCTCCTTTTCCTCCCCATCCTTTCCCTCTGCTTTTCTCTCCCCTTACCTAAGGGTGTTCTGCCCAAAGAAAGGTAAATTTTAATGGCTAAAAGCTACCTAGTTAACTTGGGGTTTACTGGTTAGATATTTTTCTCAAAGACCAAGCCTTAAACGCAATTCACTCTGGATCTCATGGATTGGACAACAAATCAAGCACCATTTCATGATTGTTTTTTGGGCCCTCCAGGTTCAGAGTGAGTGTAAATAGTAACTGTTTCTCTTTTGGCCAGCAACCCTAAGGGTCTTTCCCTCCCAGTTTGATTTTTTTTTTTTTTTTTGCTTAAAGAGGCCATCCCTTGACTCACTTCTTAAAGAGGCCTATGTCACTCAAAGTGACAACCTGAAAAGACCTTAGCTTAAAAGGGCCAGAGTCTCTCACTGCATCCTGAGCTATCTCCAGTCGTCCTGATTGATATCAGACCCACTGGACCCAGATGACTCTGGAGGAGAAAGTGACGCTGGTGACTTTGCACAACCCTCCCTCACTCAAATCAAAGTCAATTGCTAGTCATGTCATCATCTCCCTGATGTTAAGGTCATCTTCAAGAATGAAGGACAAACACACACTCGCACACATACACACAATTCAGGCAGTATATGTATGTGTGTAAAGCTCATACATGTTGAGATTTACAAAGCACTTTCCTCCAAATCATTATCTCCATATAAATATACCCATATATGCATATATATGTGTATATAAGGTGTATATATGTATCTATTCAGGGTGTCCCAAAAGGTCTTGGTGTAATTTTAAGATATAATAGCTTAAGGCCCTTAATAGCTTAAAACCACATTAAAATTTCTGGGACACCCTGTATATATAGCCGCATGCTGTGCAGGAATTATTATCCCCATTTTACCTATGAGGAAGTCGAGGCTTTAAGAGCTGAAGTGTCAGAGGTGAGATTCAAACTCAGGGTTTCAAGTCCAGAATGGAAGCAGGAACTTTTTCATTCTTGCATTTGTATCACCAGAATCACGTACAGTTGCTGGCACAGGGTAAGTACCTGGTAAATGTTTATAAATAGTAAATGGATTTACTATTTATCTCTCTCTCTTTTTTTCTTTGGTGAGGCATTTGGGGTTCAGTGACTTGCCCAGAGTCACATAGCTAGTGAGTGTTATGTGTCTGAGGCCGGATTTGAACTCAGGTCCTCCTGACTCCAGGGCTGGTGCTCTATCCACTGAGCCACCTAGCTGCCCCTATTTACTGTTTATGTCTTCCCTAACTTTGCATTTGGGGATAGAGTTATAAACTCTGCTCATAAAGTATAACATTAGTTTCCATTTTTAAGGGACATATGTTTTTCAGGAAAATCATATGCCTTTTTAATTTTTCCAAACATCTCCAAGCAGCACAGAGCTCTATCAGGACAGTGAGCCAAAAGCATAGCATTGACAGTCCCCAATTACAGAACACCCACATACCTCCTGTCTCTTTAGCTAAAGACTTTTATATACATTCACATGCAAACACACACTTTTGGGGGAACTAATTTTCCTTTATAATAAAGAGAAAACTTTGCCAAAAATAACTGAGCATGTAACGATTTCAGTTATTTTTACCGTGGTAGCAGATGCTGGGAGCCTACTAAGGCAACTCCGAAACACGGTCTATAAATAGCAGCTTATTGTCAGTGTTTGTGAAAAGATGAAGAGAGTTTTGCTGTGTGATTCAAACTCAATTGAGTGGTGAAGTTCTGCCAGGGCTATAAATGAAAGGCAACTTCAACTGGAAAACTGGTCTGCAGACAACTGGGACCAGGTCACTACTGGATCCTGCTCTGAGACAAGCTGTTGGGAGCTCTTTCTGTCTCAATCATGGAAAGAATCATCATAAGGCACCTGATAGAAACCCCAGTACGCTACCAGGAGGAATTTGAAGCCCGAGGCCTTGAAGACTGCAGGCTGGATCACAGCTTGTATGCACTGCCAGGGCCAACCACTGTGGACCTGGGGAAGGCCAGGTCAGCCCAGAATCCACTACCGGCCACAGAAGCTGAGAAGCCACCAGCGGGGGACAGCAAACCTCATTTTCAGATCTTGCTGGATGTGGTGCAGTTTCTCCCTGAAGATGTCATCATCCAGACTTTTGAAGGTTGGCTCCTGATCAAGGCTCAACATGGCACCAGAATGGACGAGCATGGGTTTGTCTCAAGAAGCTTCACCCGGCAATATAAGCTACCGGATGGTGTTGAAAACAAAGACCTATCGGCCCTCTTCTGCCACGATGGCATTTTGGTAGTGGAAATGAAAGATCCCGCAAGGGTTAACTGAACTACTGCCAGTTGCTGTTAATAAGATAGTATGTGCCTTAATGTGGGTCTGACAGCCCTGTGTAATTAGAGAGCTTGCTTGCATGTGGCCCCATTGGCTGCATTTACAGTGGGGATTAAAAAAAAAATATTTGAATATATTTCTTGGTACGTTGAGTTTTATTGTTCATTTTCTCTTAGTGGAAAATGTTTAGCGATTTGCCTACAGTGTAGAGCTATGCTGTTATGCAACTGAAAACTTATGACAATTTGAGATAAGTATTTCTGATACTGTTGTAACGCAAAACAGGTGTGCTTAACTGCATCACTAAGACATGCAGGACTGAATTGGTAAAAACCAACTACAATAATTATACTAAGGAAAAGAATTAACATGACAATTTTCTTTGAAAAAATAGTTGGCATCTTTGCAAAATATAGTGCTTCTGCTAACTTTGATTTTTTTCATTTCAATGTATTTTTTTTTTTATCAAAACTGAGTCTGGTAGAGTGGGATAAATATAACGGAAAGAGCATGGAATCAGAAGGCCTGGGTTCAAAGCCTAATTTTGACATTTATTTACTGTGAGACCTTGGTCAAATAAAGTAATTTCACCCCTCCGGGCCTTGATTTTTTCACCTGCAAAATGAAGAGATTGGATTAGAGGACCCTGACGGTCCCTTCCCACTCAAATCTATGACTCTAGATGAATATTTTTGTTTTTGCAATACAGAGAAGGTGCACATTTGTGGAATCCTTCTGGATCTGTATGTTTGTTGTAAACAAGCCAGATATCAGCTAACCTCTGATTGCAATGTGATCTGTTGACATTGTTCATTTATAAGAATACACATTTGCTATGAATCTCATGATTGTTTTACAATTCAAAATACAGTTAGGAAACCATTTTTTAAAAGTCTAGCTATCCTTTTGATAGCTTTGGTTTAAAGGACAATTATGAGACCTTGAAAAATTGACAATAGCCAGAAAATGGCAAATGCTTATTCATTGTCTTTAAATATTCTAATTGACCGCAAGGAATTTAAAAAAAAAAGAAAGATAAAACTTGTCATACGGTCATAAATACCACTATGCGTACACAGCATGTCTGACAGTTATCACATTGCAGCTTGCCCTCTCTTAATCAGTTAGCTTGTCCAAAAGAACAACAGTTAAGACTTTAGTAAAGGTATATGTTTATTGCTTTATGAAAGTTGCCTCCAACAGCTGATTTATTGCATTCCACAGATCTGCTATGTCCTTGCTGTAAATGCTAAACAATTCAAGGAGGGGGGATGGGGAGAGTGGGGGGGGGGTAGGAGGAGACTTGGCCTTTCATGTGTGCTTAAGATAACTACATGACTGCAGTTCTATGAATAGATGAGGAATGCCTAAAGGCCAGAGCCAAGCTAAATAGGGACTTTCCTGCTATCAGAGCACTGTGTGATCAAATGCAGTCAAATTTCAATGAAATTAACTATCAGTACACAAAGAAAGAACATAAAGAAAGGGGGAAAGAAAATAGAATGAAAAATAACATTCTAATTAAAAACAAAGATTTCCTCCAGGATTAAGTTCATAGAGATGACGTGTGTTTCTGTGTTCTGCAATGGTTGATATTTGATGTGTGCTTATGTTCTAAGGTTTTGGAATCAACTGTCCCGAAATGAATATCATTGATTTTCTCTGTGTAGTTACCTTAGGAGATTGCTTTCATATTCCATTAGCTGAAGCATTCAGGCTATAAAATTCAGCTGGTTGCTGGAGGAGTTGTTATCTACATAACCATTGGTCCTTACAGTGGATTATTTCTCCTCCTTTTTCAAAGCACCAGGGTTACATAAAACCTTTAATCATTGGTAAGTAGGCCACATGGTGGCAAGAGCACTGACTTTGGAGAATGAAGTCGTGGGTTCAAATCTTAACTCTTCTACTAAGTACCTGTGTGAATTTAGACAAGATAATTTATCTCTGTAGGCCTCAATTTTCTCATCCACAAAATTAGGAGATTAGACCAAATCACCTCTAAGGTTGCTTATAGCTCTAAAGCCCATGGAACATACTGTTGAGAGAAATTTGAAAGCAAAGTAAAAATGATTTCTGTATGACACTATTTCAAAACCTGTTGTATGATGAAGGAGCTGATGATGGTGAAGTTCCAGTAACTAAATGTGGATATGGAACAAGAAATGGTTCCTAGTGAAGTGACTTGAGTTGGTCACCAAAAAACTGCCATTCTACATTCCTGAGTAGATATATTTTAAAGGGTCCCTTCTCTATAAACAAAATGACTTGCTTTTTTTCAGTATTTTTTGTTCCTTTTATGGAGAAGATGAGACGAATGTTTTGTTTTAACAGTCTAAGATGATCTGTTATCTGTAAAGCTTAAAATAAAACATGGCCATGCTCAGAGCCATAACTAGGAATTCTTGAGTCTGAGCTAAATTCAGTTAGAGTGGAGAATGTATGTGGTAGTGGCATAAGAACAGTAGAATTCTGAGTGCAGTTGTGCGGGAAGGGGAGGACAGACCAGCCCCTCTAGTCTGGCCTACACTAGGGGGATTGGGTGGAGGCCAGGCTGAGGGGAAGGCTGTCATGGTGACAAGACATTGGGGATGAACCCAAGGGTTGTGATACCACACTGCAACCCACATTGGTGGAGAAATGCCATGTGCAGTAAGGGGATGGTGATCTCCAAGGGAAGAAAGTGCACCCATAATCCTCCCCACTGGGGAGGCATGTGGACAATTCTGGCTTCAGAGCACAAGCTTTGGCAGATCCTACCATGCTGGAAAGGTTTGTGATGTCCAGTAATGGGCAGTTGGGACAATCTTAATTTTGGAGAGGTTCATCATTAGAAATCTGGCTACCACAGGATAAATTTTGACAGAGCAACTTAAAAAATCAGTCCTAGGGCATTAAGTGGTTGCAATCTGCATCAATGGAGGGAATGTCCACACTGAGCACTTGAGCTTTAAAATATTCGAGAATTGAATTTGTAGACACTCTATATTGATTGCTGTTAATCCTTTTGAGACAGACTTCACTTTATTTTTCCCCCTTTTAACATATTTTTATTTGATTAAATATTTCCCAATTACATGTAAAAATTTTTTTAACATTAATTTTTTTAAATTTTGAGTTCCAAATTCTCTCCCTCCTTCCCACTTCTCCCTCCTCCTTGAAAAGGCAAGCAATTTTATATTAATTATACGTGTAAAGTCATGCAAAACATATTTCCATACTAGCCATGTTACAAAAAAACAAAACAAAACAAAACACACACACACACACAGACAAAAAACCCAAGAAAAATAAAGAACATTTTATAAAAGTATGCTTCAGAATCTGCATTCAGAATTCATTAATTCTTTCTCTGGTAGTGGATAGCATTTTTCATCATGGGTCCTTTGGAATTGTCTTGGATCATTGTCTTGATCAGAGTAGCTAAGAGTAGATCATCCTTACAATATTGCTATTGTTGTGTACATTGTTTTCTTGGTTCTGTTCACTCAACTCTGATTCAGTTCATATGCCTTCCCAGGTTTTTCTGAAAGCATCCTGCCCATCATTTCTTATGGCACAATAATATCCCATTGCAATCATATACCACAACTTGTTCAGCCACTCCTCAATTGATGGGCATCCCCTCAATTTTCAATTCTTTGCCACCACAAAAGAGCTGCTATATACAATTTTGCATATATAGGCCCTTTTCCTTTTTCTTTGATTTCTTGGGAATATAGACCTAGTGGTGTTATTGCTGGGTCAAAGGTTATGCACAATTTTAGAGCCCTTTGGTCATAGTTCCAAATTGTTCTTCAGAATGGTTGGATTAGCTCACAACTTTACCAATGGTGCATTAGTGTCTTTTCTATATCCCCTTTAGCATTTGCCATTCTCTTTTTCTGTCATGCTAGTCAATTTGATAGGTATAAGATGATACCTCAGAGTTGTTTTAATGTGCATTTCTCTAATCAGTAGTGATTTAGAGCATTTTTATGTGACTATTGATAGCTTTGATTTCCTCATCTGAAAATTGCCTGTTCATATCCTTTGACCATTTATCAACTGGGGAATGGCACTTATTTTTTATACATTTGGCTGAATTCCCCATATATTTGAGAAATGAAGTCATTATCAGAGAAACTTGCTGTTAAAATTTCCCCCCAATTCCCTATTTTCCTTCTAATTTTGGCTGCATTAATTTTGTTTGTAGGCTTCGCTTTAAAAAGAAAATAGGAGAGGGGCAGCTAGGTGGCTGACTGGATAGAGCTTCAGCCATGGAGTCAGGAGGACTTGAGTTCAAATGCAGCCTCAGACCGTTGACGCTTATTAGCTGTGTGACCCTGGACAGGTCGTTTAACCACGACTGCCTCACCAAAAAGCAAAAAAAAAAAAAAAATCCCAAACTTGAACCTTTGTACAATTGCTATCAATTTAATTGCCCCCTCCTTCCCTTTTCTCATCTTCTGCCTCTCTCCTAAAATATACCGACATAGTTTCTTACAAACACTTTTTAGAATTCTGATAGGTTTCTCTTACTTGTTTGGGAATTGCTCTAAATTTTTTGCTCAACATCGAGGCCAAATATTCTTGAAAAAAATGACACTTCTATGAAGAGTTTTGCTTTTTGCAATTACTCCTTGTGATCTACATGTTCACCCATTTCATAAGCAAAATATAATATTATCCAAAAGGAAGTTAATCTAAGGCATTCCTCAAGATTGGAGGTGGAGGGAAGAAAGAGGATGGAAAGCTTTGCTTTGGAAATATATTTTCATATAATTGAGAGTCATTTTGTGTTGTCCCTTAAAATGTCTCTTGAGTAGTTTTATTAAAAAAGTTTTAAAAAAGCACTTGAATTTAGAAGCAGCAATTGAGCTCTAGAAGGCGAGTGTGGTAGACACACACACATATACATGTACATATACACATACATATAAGCATATGTATAACTATACATATACTTATACATTTGCATATATGTATACATATACTTATTGAATTGGATTACCAGG